ATGTATCACAGAACAATGTGAGTATTTGAGATGACTCATACCTTGGGTGGAATCTTCAGGTAATTTCAGGAAATAAAATATACGGCTCTATCCAGATATAGCAGTGATACCTATATTATTCTAAATAGGGACCATGGGAATATAGGTGTATATTCGGATTATTCCTCCTTGAAGTACCATCCTGTTTGTTTCCTGATAAGACATGTAACTAATGCTAGTTTATAATACATCTTACTTCCCATCATCTCAATACTCAAGTTAGTGATATATAGTTCCCATTGCTGAGTATTTAGTGGTGTTTAAAGTCTATGACATCTTAGTTATAATCTGTTTTTGTAGTATTTTTGTCATGATATACAGTGAACTTTTAAACTTAAATGTCCTGAATTTCACCCCTTTGTTTCAGAATCAACATTTCCTCTGTGTAGGAAAAAAAAAAATTCTCTTGTTTGCCTGGCCCTTGTATTGGGCTCATGGTAAACAACTGTTAATGCTTTCACCCTTGGTGAACAATAGTATATGGTAATAGTTTCAGAGGTCTGTTGGTTCATCACACTCTACAGGTTTTGGTTAAGCTTTCAACCAGTGAGTTCCCGTCTCATTATTGTTGAAATGTTTACAAGTCAAAGTCCTATGTGTTTGACTTTCTGTAGGTGCATTCTTCTCAACCTCCATATACAAATAGTCCTTGTTGACAGTTCTAACAGTCCCATTGTCTTGGAAAAGTCTTACTTCCCCCATTCTCTCCAGTTCTTTAACTAGAATTCTTGGTGGTTCAACCAAGACAAAATTAACTCTTAACATCCGGTTATGCTGAGCTGTTTGCCATATATATTATGTCTTGATAAAAGTCATATTTTTGACATGATTCAAAAGCCCACAACAAGCCTAAGCCAGTGACGTCACGCCACACAAACCACGAGGAGGGCCGGCGGCCATTCTTTACACCTGTTTTCTTTGCACCACTTCCTGCATTGCTTTTGGCCAGGTGTGAGTGCATATTTTATTGTCTTCAGAATAGTAAATGTAGTAGAATGCACACTTCTATGCCTATTCTTAGGCAAGTAATTTATATTTAAAACTTCGAAAGAGCTGACAGGTTCTTTGTAAGGTTTTGCCTAAGCACACCTACTATTTAAAAGTATTTAAGCTTTAGTATGCATTTTTGTCTTTGTGCTTTTTTTTTTTTTTTGTTTCGTTCACACAGTATACAGGTGAAAGTTGAAAAATTAGAAAATCGTGCAGAAGTTCATTTATTTCAGTAATGCAACTTAAAAGGTTAAACTAATATATGAGACTCATTACATGCAAAGCAAGATAGTTCAAGCCGTGATTTGTCATAATTGTGGTAATTATGGCTTACAGCTCATGAAAACCCCAAATCCACAATCTCAGAAAATTAGAATATTACATGCAATCAATAAAAAACAAGGATTGTACATAGAACAATATCGGACCTCTGACAAGTATAAGCATGCATATGTACTCAGTACTTGGTTTGGGCCCCTTTTGCAGCAATTACTGCCTCAATGCGGCGTGGCATGGAAGCTATCAGCCTGTGGCACTGCTGAGGTGTTATGGAAGACCAGGATGCTTCAATAGTGGCCTTCAGCTCTTCTGCATTGTTCGGGTCTCATGTCTCTCATCTTTCTCTTGGCAATGCCTCATAGATTTTCTATGGGGTTTCAGGTCAGGCAAGTTTGTTGGCCAATCAAGCACAGTAATCCCACGGTCCATTGAACCAGGTTTTGGTGCTTTTGGCAGTGCGGGCAGGTGCCAAGTCCTGCTGGAAAATGAAGTCAGCATCCCCATAAAGCTCGTCTGCAGAAGGAAGCATGAAGTGCTCCAAAATCTCCTGGTAGACGGCTGCGTTGACCCTGGACTTAATGAAGCACAGTGGACCAACACCAGCAGATGACATGGCTCCCCCAAATCGACAGACTGTGGAAACTTCACACTGGACTTCAAGCATCTTGCAGCATGTGCCTCTCCATTCTTCCTCCATAGTCTGGGTCCTTGGTTTCCAAATGACATGCAAAAGTTGCTCTCATCAGAAAAAGAGGACTTTGGACCACTGAGCATCACTAATCATCACAATTATGACAAATCACGGCTTGAAACTATCTTGCTTTGCATGTAATGAGTCTATCTCATATATTAGTTTCACCTTTTAAGTTGCATTAATGAAATAAATGAACTTTTGCAAGATATTCTAATTTTTTCGAGTTTCACTTGTACATTGCCACAAATTAAGTAGCAGGTTTATGATATCTATACATAATGTTTTGTTGATTTTGTCTAGTTCAAAGTAGCCCCAGAGAGAGCAACTAAATAAACAAATGAGTGATAAGTACAATTATCTAAACCATGCTAGGGAGGATTCTGTACACATTGGTACAGGATGCCCTCATACAAGGAGACCAAATCTAACGTTTTTCCACTTTTAGATACTCATAGCTGCTTGTAGATACCCCGATCAGCCATACCTTTATGACCACCCATTTGATATTGAGTATAGTTTTTGCCACCAAAACGACTTGACCATTGAGTAATGAATGCCACTAGACCTTTGAAGGTATCAGGCACCAATCTGTCAGTAGCAGATCATGTAAGCTCTGTAAGTTGAGCACAGGGACTCCATAGATCGCACTTGTTTTTCCAGCACATCCCACAGATACTTGAGAGTATCTAGTTGAGATCTAGAGAATTTGGAGGCCAAATCAACACCTCAAACTCTGTGTTCTGCAAACCATTCTTGAAAAAAATTTTTTAGTGTGGCAAGGCGTGTTATCCTGCTGAAAGAGGCCACTGATATCAGGGGGTGTACCACATGAATGGCAGGACCCAAGGTTTCCCAGTAAAACATTGCCCAAAGCATCACAATGCCTTTGCTGACTTGCCTTCTTCCCATACTTCATCCTGGTGCCATCTCTTGACCAAGTAAGAGGAAAACTCTACAAAATGCAGTGAGTTCCTTTTAAACAGTGGTCACTCCAGAACAGCTCTCCCCATTCGAAGATTTATTCTCTCCTTCTGTTCTGGGGACAATTAAAAAATTTTGGATTTTACATCACTTTCTGCCTATGTAACAATGGTCACCAGGACAAATAGAAATGTGAATCTCCCCAGTGGGGACATAGACAGCAAAACATATTTAACTGGGCTTTTATTTAATTCCTTTCTATCCAAACACTAAATGTTATGGAGACATGATTCTGCTAAAGATCTTGTTTGTTGGACTGATTGCAATTTGTTTCCTTTACAGAAGAAAGAGCAGGTTTAAGTGAAGAAGAGAGGGAAAAACAGACAAAAAGGTGTGTTGCATTTTACACATTCACATAATATAGATAACGAAAAACCATATATTTACAATTGCACTAAAAACAAAATGGAAGTCACTTTACACATTCATTGCAACAACTTCTGTTGACATTAAGGGGTTTTATTTACTAAAGCTGGAGAGTCCAAAATCAGACGCCCTTCTGCATAGAAACCAATCAGCTTCCAGGTTTCATTGCCAAAGCTTAATTGAACAAGCTGAGGTTAGAAGCTGATTGGTTTCTATGCAGAAGGGAGTCTGATTTTGGACTCTCCAGCTTTAGTAAATAAACCCCTAAGTGTTCTAGAGGCATGTAAGCAAAGAAAAGGTAAGTACGTGCTGCTAGTATTGCATACATTAAAGTGAACCTGTTGCTTTGCCTTGCATAAGGAAAACACAGGTTCACATCAAAAAGCTTGTATATCATCTTACTTGCTCAGGACCAAAATGTAAATTATTTTTCATTTAATTTAGTCAGATTAATTATTGAAATATTAAATTTGTATATTATTTACCATTTGCAGCCAGATAAGCAGGTAGAATTGCAGGATATTTACCCGTTTACCTAGCTGATGTTGCAAATGGCCTGTGTTGTGTCAATGGCTACAACCTTGTTGCAGTACTATGCGCACATTGTTTTATGCTGTGCAGCTACAGTGTACATTTCCCAATAAATCTTTAGGATTATATCTATAGGATGATGGAACTGATAGCCCAAAAGCAACAAGAACGTGAAGAGCGAGAAAAACGGGAACGAATTGAACAGGAGAAAGAGAGGCGGAGACAGGGACAAGAGCTTTCTGTAATCAGACAAAAACTTCAAGAACAAGAGATGCAAAAAGCAGTAGAAGAGAGGAGGCGAGAAAAACAAGAGGAGAGACTGGCCAGGTTAGTTCTTGCATTGAAAAGTTTTGTTGAAACCTTAAATGCATCATTTGGCTGCTGGTTAGGGGTGTTAAACACAGATGTTTATGGAAGTGCTAACGTTCATTTAAAACAAGCTGCAAGCTAGGTAAGATTTGTGTTGAACCTCCCCAAACCGGAGCTGAAGAGTTATTTGAAAGTCTCGCTCACACTGAATATTTTATCCTGTGCCCATTGCATGGCCATGTTTTACCAGCATGAGGATGCACAGGTAATGCATGCATACCCATGCCTGCAGTTCCTGTGCTGTCTATTGGGATGCAATGGCTGCTTAGACACAGCTGCAGCTCCCAATGTGACATCCAGGGGTGTTACCACAAGGCAAACAAGGCATTTGCCTAGGGCGGCATTTTTCAGGGGGGCAGCACCTTACCCCAGAAGAAGGGATGAAAGAAGGGACACGTGCGCTATGGGAACCAGGTGGGATCCGAGAGGGGCTGCTTGATGGTGTATGTAGAGTCTGACTCTCGTTCCCAGGGATGTCCGGAGCTGTGAAGATGAGTGTCTTTCTCTCTATTGCCGGGGAGGGTGGTAGTGGAAGGTTCTCCCAGGTTGGGGGCAGGGGTGTTGTTGGTCAGTGTCAGGCTCTTTCCATGGGAAGGGGTGGAGTGGGGGGGATGCTGGTTGGTGTTCGTGGGGGCAGACGATTTTTGTGTTGCCTAGGGCATCAGAAAACCTAAATACACCACTGGTGACTTCCATGTGGGTTATTGGGTGTCAGTCCCCCAAAAAGAGATTATTATTATTATTATTATACAGGACTTCTATAGCGCTGACAGTTTGCTCAGCGCTTTACATTATGGAGGGAGACAGTACAGTAACAATACAGTTCAATACAAAGGGATTAGAGGGCCCTGCTCCTTGGAGCTTATAATCTAGGATTATTTGTTTCAACCAAGCCTAGATGACATGATGGCCAAGGCGACGTAGAAAAAGAAGGTATTTCTTTCCAAAAAGAAGCCGTCCAGAGTTTAAAAAAAAAAAAGGACTGATGCATAAAGTATGCCTGTATTTGTAGTGTTTGGGAGCCCCAGATACTGTGCAGTTCTGCCAATAGGCAGGAATTACAAATTAAAGGTGTATGCAGGTATATGCACCAGTATTTGTGTTTACAGGCAATTTGTATGGGTGTATTTTCCTCAATGCGCTTGTTTCACGTTTGGAGAAAATACTCCCATAAGCATGTGCCTGTAGATGCAAGTATTGGCATTTATGTGTACACCCCTGTACATCGTATTTTGTAATTTACTCCTATGGGTACAGTTACACATGACTGGGGCTCCCAGGTGCAGCAAATACAGATGTATTTTATGCTGTGTGCCCATACACCTTCAAATGCATCTGTGTGTTTTGAGCCGTTAGGCAGGCCTAAAAGGAAAACCAGCAGCTAACCAAAATAAAAAAAATCCACACAGCAAGAAGGGGAAAAAATGGTTTCCTTATAACCAAGCTCTGCAGTACAGGCAAATAAGCCACTAGACCAAGTGCTAGTAATACTTGTGAGCTAATATGGTGAAATTCAAAAATGCTTAAATTAATCAAAAAATGAATACACATGTGGTGCGCTAGCTCCTTACACTAACTCATAAATAGTGCTTAAAACCTCACTCCAAATATTAATAATGGTGCTGCGCTCCCGTGCAATAATAGTGTTTACCCATAATATAATGTGATAATGAAATAAATGGTTAAAACAAACTAATAAACATCTGTGACTAGTGTTCATGTGCAAATTATAAAGGGGATATAAGGAGAGATAGACCCAGGGAGGTGAGATATCCATCCATCCATATCCAGTACAGGGAGCATCTGTTTGGAGAATCACCAGGTGGATTATCAATATATTGCCACGAGGAATCACCTGTGAAGGATTTTTTGGAGCAGGAATAGTTACATCTGTCCTTTCAGGACAAAAAGCGATTTTAGCCTAAATTTATTGGGCTAAAAAGGAGGTGAGCGCACAATATAGCAGTATTCATTGTTTTTTTTTTCACTCATTGGATGTCACAAGATTTTTCCATATATTAAGAGGACTGTTCACCTAATACAGACATTTCTTGAGGTTATAATTGTTTATTTGGTTTATTGGATTTTATTGAGGGAATTCTTTTGTAATTTATTTATTTTTTTTCTCTGTGTGCTTTAGCCATCATATTTTATATATTTTTTTTTTGGTTTAGGTTTTGGTAATAATCAGGTTTATAATTTGCACATGAACACTAGTCACAGATGTATATTAGTTTGTTTTAACCATTTATTTCATTATCACATTATATTATGGGTAAACACTATTAATAGCACGGGAGCGCAGCACCTATATTAATATTTGGATTGAAGCCACTAGACCAGCAGTTTCTTGGAGGCTCCAATGGGGGGGGTCGTCTGTCTGCATTGAACCCATTTCATCTACGTTCAATGTTTTTTAAACATTTATAAAAGAGGGATATAGAATAGGGTTCTCATCTACTCCTCAGAACAGGTTCAATATTACTCTGCCACCGCTGTCTCCAGAATTGCAGGATGCTATGATACAGGCTATTCAGAAGTTGCTTGTGCAGAGAGTAGTCGAGGAAGTGCCACAATTGGGATGGAGGAATAGATATTATTCAACCATGTTCCTTGTAGAGAAGCCAAGTGGAACCTTAATATTTATCCTCCATTTGAAATAATTGAACTTCCAAAATGCAAACAGATTTTGATGGGATCAGTCTGATTCCCAAGGATGCATTTCTAGCAGCCAGACTTGTGTATTATCATACTGTATACTCGTCCACCCAAGATCAAGAAATTGGGCAATGGGGACTGTGAAAGTATAATAGGTAATGCTGAAGAAAATGTAGAGCGGTTTAAGATGATGTAAAGTGAGGTTTGGAAACACTGAGAGGTGAAAAGGAGTAGATATGTCCAATCAACAGACTAAAATTGCGATGTGCAATACATTGAACAAAGCTCTCAAATATACTCACTTTAACTACCTGCCGACCGCAGATAGCCGAATGACGGCTGCACTGCGGCCGGCCAGTTCTGAATGGACGTCATATGACGTCCTCCCAGAACGCGCTCTCCGCGCACCCGGCGATCTCCGTGATCGCTGTGTCCTATGGACACAGCTGATCACGTGATGTGGTAAAAGACCAATCACAGCGGCCTTTTACCACGTGATCAGCGGTGTCCAATGACATGCTTATCAGAGGGAAATGCAAGTGCCGGTTCTCGGCTGCACTTTCCTCACGCTGTCAGATCGTGAGGAAAGTACTGCCGAGAACCGGCAGTTGTCAGAGCGGGGTTCGGCGCCGATCATCAGGGCACTAATGATCAGTGCCCTGATGATCGGTGCCCAGCAGTGCCACCCGCAAGTTCCGCCCACCTGTGCCCAGCAGTGCGCCCACTAGCTCCGCCCACCTGTGCCCAGCAGTGCACCCACCTGTGCCACTCTGCAGTGTCACACACTTGTGCCCAGAAGTGCCACCTACCTGTGCCCAGCAGTGCCACCCACCTGTGCCCACCCACCTGTGCCCACCCACCAGTGCTGCCCACCAGTGCAGTGCTGCCAGTCAGTGCCACCAGTCAGTGCCCAGGGAGTGTGCCAGTCAGTGCCGCCAGTCAGTGCTGTCTATCAGTACCCATCATCAGTGCCACCTATCAGTGCTGCATATTAGTGCCGCCTATCCGTGACACCTCATTAGTGCTGTCTATCAGTGCCGCCTATCCGTGCCACCTCATTAGTACTGCCTATCAGTGCCCTTTAGTGCTGCCTATCAGTGCCCATCAGTGCCGCCTATCAATGCCCATCAGTGCTGCCTCATCAACGCACATCAGTGAAGGAGAAAAAAATACCTGTTTGAAAAATTTTATAATAGAAACAAAGAAACTTTTTTTTTTTTTCAAATTTTTTTCACTTTTTTATTTATAGCGCAAAAAGTAAAGTGCCCAGTGGCGATTAAATACCACCAAAAGAAAGCTCTATTTGTGAGAAAAAATGATCAAAATTTCATATGGGTACAATGTTGCATGACCGCGCAATTGTCAATCAAAGTGCGGCAGCGCTGAAATCTGAAAATTGGCCTGGTAAATAAGGGGGTATAAGTGCCTGGTAGGCAAGTGGGTAAATATACAAGAAGATGACTTAGAAGAGGAAAACAGGATTTGGCTCAGTATTTCACATCTTTTTATGGGAACAGTGGAGGGGCTTGTATAAGTCTTTTCTGTGTAGATTTTGTGAAAGGAACACTAACCACTAGCAGCTGCCATGTTCTGCTGCATTAGTGCATGGCAGAAGTTGATTTATATTAATTTCTCATTTACAGAGAGCGTGTCCGGGACAAAATTGCAAGGGATAAAGCAGAGAGAGCCAGAAGGGTGAGTACAAGCTGCTGCATTTCATTACCTTCAAGAAGTGCATGAGCATTCCTCTAGTTGTTGGGTAGTAAATACTGAAGGCTTTGTTGTAAACGAAAAAAAAAAAAAAAGTAAGAACATCCAGTGGTATAACAACATGTAGTCATACTACAGTAAACACTATCCTGCCTGAGAACAGTTGTAGAATTATAGAGTATTGAAAGAAAATGCAACAGTACATAGAATTTGTCTTTGTTATGATCCAGTTCTCTTGCTGGCTCAGCAACATAAATATACATTGCCCGACACATGCTCACTGACGCTCCCATGTTACGCACAGCATGACGCTCCTAGAACCGGATTACGGTACCCGGCCTCATTGAGTGGCCAGGGGATCATGTGATCACATGATCACAATGTCAGCAAAGCTGTTATGAATTGATTTCATTCATAACAGCTGATTCCTACAGTGATGCTGTGATTGGCCCCCAGCTATCACATAGCATCTAGGCCAATCACAGCATCCTGTACCATGTGTTTAGTTGTAGCCAATCATAGCATGTCAGCTGTTATGAATGAAATCCATTCAGTTCACACAATTGTTGTTACAGTGATAATCACTGTAACAGCAATCCCAGTGGTAAAAAAAATCCCTGATCACTTTCCCAGAGTGATCCACAACAAACCCCTGAGCCTTCTAGATAAAAGATCCTAGTACAATTATTAGGGCAGATGGTAGATATATTTTATTATTCCAACTTGTAATTCTCCTTACTTCCAGTATGGTGGAGAGACATCAGATCCAATTTCCCCTCCAGCGGAGACACCTGTTCAAACCACCACACTCTCCCCATCATCCCCAACACAGGAGCCACCTACTAAGAAGGAGTATGATCAGTGTCGTATACAGGTAAATCTAAACACTAAAATTGCATTTTGCGCTATCTAGAACACATCTCTGTTGCAGAAATCATTATCAAAGCTTGCACAATCTATCATATCTCTAGCCTTGGATTAGATAAATTTTCCAGCAAATTATACATTTTTTTAATATATTTTTGCAACCACTGTTTTTATTTGCGAAGTGGAAATAATGTTTATATTGCAGAAAAAAATCCCAATAGCAGTATTATATGTTATGGAAAAAGTATGAAATTCCGGATGTTTATATTTGATGCCAAGCATTTTTATAGCGTTGGCACAAAATTTGGTTTTTGTTCTCAGGTCCGCCTTTTAGATGGTACTGCCCTATCGCAAACATTTCGTGCACGAGAGCAGCTGGCTGCTGTCCGATTGTATGTGGAATTAAATTGGCCCGATGGCCCAATAGGACCTTTTAACCTTATGACTAGCTTCCCACGAAGGGTGTTTACAGAAGAAGATATGGAAAAGCCACTGCAGGAGCTTGGTGAGTATCTTATAGGAGAAAATCCTGCAGGTTTTCTATAAGTATAGTGACTCAATTCAAAGTTAGTTTTCAACCATAGTAAACAAAAATGATTTAAGTGTGTGTTTTTTTTTTTTTTTATGTTCCTGAAATTACATTCATATCAAAATCGATTCTTAAAAGCAAACAAAATGTTAAGTACTTTCGAACAGCATTTGTCAAATCTGTTGGCATTATTGAGTGTATTGAGATTTTTATGAACATTCAAAAATCTAACATTATATGGCCAGCTTTAGTCACATATCATCTGCAACAACATACTTCAGAAACCCTTGCATTTTGTCACTATTTATAAATGGGCTTCAAATGGCTAGTAATGATAGTAGGGGTTACAATAGGATTCCTATCACTAGCGAAGCCCCGCTTTCAATATGTTTATTAATTTCAATATGTTTATTAATTTTTCCATAAATAACAGTTTCAAAAACATAAGGTAACTTCAGACCTTCCCAAACTGGGAGGGTAATAGGCAAATACTTTCAAGTAGTAATGCGCAGGCTGCACTGGTTTTAAATTGAGAAGATCCCCTGCCCACTGTCAAGGGGGAGGAGAGTACTTGGGGGGGGGAAAGGAGGCAGGACCTTGAAAGTTATACGTTTTACGGATGTAATATGTTGCCAAATGTGAACTTAGCTTTCGAGTTGGTCAAGAGATGCTGCAGCCACTCCCAACTTGGTTCTGGGCATCGGTGGACCACCACAGTACTACTTCCCACTGGACCATTGGCACAAATGTTATCCAGTATCATTACAAATCTATAATCAGTACATTTCTTCAGTTAAGGAGTTCATATATGACAATATTTTATTAAAGTTTCAGATCTCCACCTGATTTTAAGTTCTAGAATACATTAACGATTGCAGTGGGAACAGATTGGTGAACTGTCACAGGACAATGTTTTTTCTTATTGCTATACTTTAAAAAAAAAAGCAGGTCAGCATATGTAGATATTTTTAAAGCTTTCTGTTGTGATTTGTGAGCTACGTTTTGGGGTTTATTTACTAAAGCTGGAGAGTGCAAAATCTGTTGCATTTCTGCATAGAAACCAATCAGCTTCCAGGTTTTATTGCCAAAGCTTAATTGAACAAGCTGAGGTTAGAAGTTGATTGGCTACCTTGCACAGCTACACCAGATTCTGAGTGCTCCAGTTTTAGTAAATCTACCCCTTTGTGTTTACTCATTCTTCCTCCTTATGAATTTTGCAGGTTTGGTGCCTTCAGCTGTCTTAATTGTCGCTAGAAAGTAAAGCGTACAAAAATCTTGCCTGTGTAAAGACCACCAAAATAGGAAGAGACCAAGAAGATGGCAGAGAAACCAGTGTGGACAAACCGGACAGCAATCTTTCTGCAAGGATCACACAGAGACTATTGGCCTCATCTCCCCAAACTGTGATGTCCTAGCATATATATTTTAATGGGGAAATAAAACCATTGTGTGAAATCCTTATCTAGTATTATGCTTATCTGACAAAAAAAAAAACATAGGTTGTTTGCATCTGAATAATGACAATGAAAGGTGATTTTTAAAAAGAGGTGACTGTTAAAAATCTTCCAGATACCATACCTGCATGCTGTTAAGAACAGCCTTCATTGTCGTTATTACTGGCAATGGCTATACTTCCTACAAAAAACAAATACAATAATTTTACTGAATCCCCCTCCACGCTTAAGCCCAGTACACACTGGCTGATTATCGGCCAGTATCTGCTGGTTCAGCAGAAACCGGCACATATTTGGCATGTGTGTACACCAGCCTGTCCTACAGAAGCTAGCATCTGTCGAACGGGCATGCTGGAAAACCGGCATCTGATCAGTGCTGGCACCAATAGCTGCAAGCGCTGACCGGTGTGTTCTGGTGGGGGGTCCCCCTGTCAGAACACAATAGCTCAGTGGGGAGATTTTTGTTTTGGTTTTTTTTGTGTTTTTTTTTTGTTTTTTTTTTCATTCAGCTCACTGATAGTGTGTACCAGGCATTAACTGAAAAGTAAAAGAAAAAAATATTCCAATTACTTGTATAGTGCTGTCAACTTATGCAGCACTTTACATATATATATATATATATATATATATACACACACACACAGTATTGTGCAAAGGTCTTAGGCAGGTGTGAAAAAATGCTGTAAAATAATAATGCTTTCAGAATAAAAGTGTTCATAGTTTATTTTTATCAATTAACAAAATTGAAAGTAAATGAACAGAAGAGAAATTCAAATCAAATCAATATTTGGTGTGACCGCCCTTTGCCTTCTAAACCGCATCAGGTCTTTAATTCTTCTAATCTAGGTACACTTGCACACAGTTTTTGAAGTACTCGGCAGATAGGTTCTTCCAACTATTTTAGAGAACGAACCACAGATCTTCTGTGAATGTAGGCTGCCTCAAATCCTCCCAGACAGACTCTATGATTTTGAGATCAAGGCTCTGTGGGAGCCCAACCATCACTTCCAGGACCCCTTGTTGTTCTTTTCACTGAAGATGGTTCTTTATGACATTGGTTGTATGTTTGGGGTTGTCGTGTTGCAGAATACATTTTGACATGCCTACATCATGTGGGATTTCTTTCTTTTACTTGCTTTCTGTGAAACCATGAGGAGTGGCAACCCCAGCACAGATGAGCTGGTCTCCACCCTATTTAATGCTTTTTATTTATTTCAGGTACTTATGTAGCGCCGTCACATGGAGAACATGCAAACTCCAGGCAGGTGGTGCTATGGTTGGGATCACCTGCCTGGAGTTTGCATGTTCTCCCTGTGCCTGCGTGTTTCCTTCGGGTACTCCGGTTTCCTCCCACACTCCAATGACATGGTGGTAGGATAATTGGATCCTGTCTAAATTGGCCCTAGTAGGTGTATGTATGAACGTAAGTTAGGGACCTTAGATTGTACGCCCCTTGAGGCTTGAGGGTTACAAACTGATGTGAATGTACAATATATATATAAGTTCTCCGTAAATTGACGGCGCTCTACAAGTACCTGTAATAAATAAATAAAAAGCATTAAATAGGGTGGAGACCAGCTCATCTGTGCTGGGGTTGCCACTCCTTATGGTTTCACAGAAAGCAAGTAAAAGAAATCCCACATGATGTAGTATTTTAAAAGCACCTTCATTTATTAGAAACAGTAATGCACTTGCATAATGCCAGCATTATTCTGTCATCAGCTTTCCCAGAATAGCAGAGGCACTCACCACACTGATGATACAGTCGGCTACAAAGATAACCTCTGCTTTATAAACTGAGACAGCACAAACTGTTAGACTCTGCCCCCAACCACGTCTCATCCTTCCTGACTTTAGTAAGAGGGGCCGCTTTTCTCGCCTAGGCACATACAGTGGGGATCGAAAGTTTGGGCACCCCAGCTAAAAATTTGTATTAATGTGCATAAAGAAGCCAAGGAAAGATGGAAAAATCTCCAAAAGGCATCAAATTACAGATTCTTATAATATGTCATTCTTATAATATGTCAACAAAAGTTAGATTTTATTTCCATCATTTACACTTTCAAAATAACAGAAAACAAAAAATGGCGTCTGCAAAAGTTTGGGCACCCTGCAGAATTTATAGCATGCACTGCCCCCTTTGCAAAGCAGAGACCTGCCAGTGTCATGGATTGTTCTCAATCATCGTCTGGGAAGACCAGGTGACGTCAATCTCAAAGGTTTTAAATGCCCAGACTCATCTGACCTTGCCCCAACAATCAGCACCATGGGTTCTTCTAAGCAGTTGTCTAGAAAACTGAAACTGAAAATAGTTGACGCTCACAAAGCTGGAGAAGGCTATAAGAAGATAGCAAAGCGTTTTCAGATGTCAATATCCTCTGTTCGGAATGTAATTAAGAAATGGCAGTCATCAGGAACAGTGGAAGTTAAAGCAAGATCTGGAAGACCAAGAAAAATATCAGACAGAACAGCTCGCAGGATTGTGAAAAAAACTATTCAAAACCCACGTTTGACTGCACGATCCCTCCAGAAAGATTTGGCAGACACTGGAGTTGTGGTACACTATTCCACTATAAAGAGATACTTGTACAAATATGGTCTTCATGGAAGAGTCATCAGAAGAAAACCTCTTCTACGTCCTCACCACAAAAATCATCGTTTGATTTGCAAATGAACATATAGACAAGCCTGATGCATTTTGGAAACAAGTTCTGTGGACCGATGAGGTTAAAATTGAACTTTTTGGCCGGAATGAGCAAAGGTACGTTTGGAGAAGAAGGGGCACAGAATTTAATGAAAAGAACCTCTGTCCAACTGTTAAGCATGGGGTTGGATCAATCATGCTTTGGGGTTGTGTTGCAGCCAGTGGCACAGGGAACATCTCACGAGTAGAAGGAAAAATGGATTCAATAAAATTTCAGCAAATTTTGGATGGTAACTTGATGCCATCTGTGAAAATTCTGAAGTTAAAGAGAGGATGGCTTCTACAAATGGATAATGATCCTAAACACGCCTCGAAATCCACGGGGGATTACATCAAGAGGCGTAAACTGAAGGTTTTGCCATGGCCTTCACAATCTCCTGACCTCAACATAATTGAAAATCTATGGATAGACCTTAAAAGAGCATTGCATGACAGACAGCCCAGAAATCTCAAAGAACTGGAAGACTTTTGTAAGGAAGAATGGGCAAAGATACCTCAAACAAGAATTGAAAGACTCTTGGCTGGCTACAAAAAGCGTTTACAAGCTGTGATACTTGCCAAAGGGGGCAGTACAAGATATTAACTCTGCAGGGTGCCCAAACTTTTGCAGACGCCATTTTTTTGTTTTCTGTTATTTTGAAAGTGTAAATGATGGAAATAAAATCTAACTTTTGTTGACATATTAAAAGAATGTCTAATCTGTAATTTGATGCCTTTTGGAGATTTTTCCATCTTTCCTTGGCTTCTTTATGCACATTAATACAAATTTTTAGCTGGGGTGCCCAAACTTTCGATCCCCACTGTATATGTACCAAACACATTCAAATATATTTGTACAGAAGACGCAGGTGGACCCAAAGAATGGCCGTCTCCTCAACAATCAAAAGGTGTCCAATATATATTAGCTAAAAAAACAAGTGGTGTATGTAGGTTTTGTGCTGCCCTAGGCAGCACAAAAATTGTGCGTCAACCGGTGAGAGAGTTCAATGAGTGTGTGTATACACTGATGCTCTCTCCCCCCTCGCTCTTCTCTCTCCCGTCTCCCTTCTCTTCCCTCACTCCTCTCTCCCTTCTCTTCCCTCACTCCTCTCTATCCCTCTTCTTTCCTCTTCTCTCTTTCCTCTCTCTCCTCCTAGTACATATTCCCCCCCATTCCCAAAATCCCCATTACACTTCCTAGAAAAGCTGGAGAGGAAAGAGTCAGGAGAAGGCGAGCTGTGTTGTGTTCTCTAGGCTCTCCCTCCTGTCGTCCATCCAGCACATGAGACACTGATCGTATGGGACTATACACACACACAATGATTACCACCCCTACCTTCTCCAAGGGCTGCTGCTGATCTCCAGGCAGCAGGAAATATGGGTAGGGGGTGGTAATCATAGTGTGTGTGTGGTCCCATACGATCTATCAGTGTCTCTTGTGCTTCATGGACGACAGGAGGGAGAGCCCAGAGAACACAACACAGCTCCCCTCCTCCTGGCTCTTTCCTCTCTGCCACTTCTCCTTTCCCTGCTCAAGGATGTCTCCTCATCCCACCTCTGAATGCGGGTGGGGGGGTGGAGCTCTGCGGCCACTTAGGCACATCAGGGCACCCCCTCCATGAAGCCATGTCTGTCTCTCCCTCCAGCAGCAAAAAGCCAGTGGGAGGGAGAGGGGAAGAAACCTCAAACTGGCTTTTAGCTGCTGGAGGGAGAGATGCATGAGCATCGTTCTGCAACTGCCCTCCCCCACCACACTGATCCTCCTGCTGTCCAGGTCACCTACAGGAGTACCGGTGGTACCCCTCTGATGGCAGCTCTGCACGGGTCAGTCCGCCATTGCTCAACATGTCCCTTCTTCTGGGGGGACAGTGCTGCCCCCCTAAAAATTGCCACTCTAGGCAAACGCCTTGTTTGCCTTGCAGTAAAAGCAACGCTGAAAACACCCTTAATGGAACTTCATCTAGCTTTATTAAGAGTACAACAGAGAAATCCCAAAGTAGCTTTTCAATAAGTGAGTAGTATTTCCAAGTTTGAGTAGAGATTATGTAATATATAGTGGGTATGGAAAAGAATCACCCCCTATAAACTAATCATATTTTGTTGCTATGCAGCCTGAAATGAAGA